CTGTCACAAATTTTTATCTTTGCAAGGAGCCCTTTGAGAGAAGAACAGAGTGATAAAGTAAAAAATGAAGCCTAGTGCTTTTCAGTCCAGTGTAGCCTGAATACGTGACCCAGTCTGTGTTAGCTTGCTTTAAGCACAGTCTTACTGGACGGTATTTGCACTGACTGGCTTGGGTGGCTGACTTCGCAACCTCCTCCCCAGAGTCCTCCTTTAGCCCATGGGGACTAAAAGTTTCTTCTGGAAGGCGGCACTGAAGGCTACAGAGCGTTGCTTGTGTCTCCTGTTGGACCAGGGTCTTTCTTGGTTTTTACTGGCTTTGGTGGGAGACCAGGAGACCATCCTACCAACTGTTAGATGGGGTGACTCCCTCTTGTCCTACTATTCCCTCCTACTAGGGATGGTTGGTGATTTGGTTAGGTGCATGCTTAAAGGTTTCCCTGGTTTTAATCCAAAATGCTCAGCCCTGTGCCAGCTGAAGCCTTTGTCAGGCAGGCAAAGAGTGAGTACCTTGCTTGCTGATGGAGAGGCTTGGTGGGTGGTAGCACCATGGCTGGGAAAGGACAGGAGGAGGGAGAGATGCTCCCTTCCCAGCAACACTGGGAGGCAAGAGGCTCAGCGCACATTGCTGGCACTGGAAGTCAGTGGGATCAGGAGGGGAGGGAGGCGTGATCTGGGGCCCTCAACATAAGAAGGACATGGACCTACTGGAGCGAGTCCAGAGGAGGGCAACGAGGATGATCCGAGGGCTGGAGCACCTCTCCTGTGAGGACAGGCTGTTCAGCCTGGAGAAGAGAAGGCTATGGGGAGACCTTCTAGTGGCCTTCCAGAACCTGAAGGGGCTACAGCAAGGCTGGGGAGGGACTTTTGACAAGGGCAGGGAGTGACAGAACAAGGGGTAATGGCTTTAAACTGGATGAGGGTAGGTTTAGATGAGATATTAGGAAGAAATTCTTTCCTGTGTGGGTGGTCAGACACTGGTACAGGTTGCCCAGAGAAGCTGTGGCTACCCCCTCCCTGGAAGTGTTCAAGGCCAGGTTGGATGAGGCTTTGAGCAACCTGGTCTAGTGGAAGGTGTCCCTGCTGATGGCAGGGGGGTTGGACCCAGATGATCTTTAAGGTGCCTTCCAACCTATACAATTTTATGATACCTGACCTAGCAGGAGATAGAGGAGGTGGTATGAGCTGTGATCATGGAAAGGACCCTAGTGAAGGTGAATGTCTGCGTACACTGAGCTCGGAGGTGATATTCAGTGAGAGTGGAATGAGTTACTGTGACTGCCCTTCTGGTTTATTTTTGTCTAGGGGAAGAGTATTGTCTTTTGTGTGCAGTATGTTTATAACTCAATTTCCCTTCTGACTGATGCCTTGCTCCACGCTCTCTTCTCCTCCTCCATCTGGTTTCTATTGTAGTTTTAAATGAGGACAGTTTGGCTGTCTGGCACAACAAGCGAGGTCTGTGTGACACCAGCTGCCTCTTCCAACTTCTAAGCCTCCAGCACAGTTTTAATTATAGAAGTGTCAAGACTGGACACCCCTCCACCCACCCCTTCAGTGCTTGCACGCACACACACACACACAGCCCCTGCTACAAATACCCATCCATGTCCAATCTTCCTTCGGGAGAGCCCCAGCTCTGTGATTTGTGTGTGCCCTGTAACGCTGATAGAGTCCTGTAATAAAGCACATGCTAGAGTCTGTACCTCCCCGTGTTCAGGGTTGATCACAGCCTTTGCTTTGGTTCATCAGAAGCCACTTTGGAAATAATCAAGCCACCTCAGAAATGCCTGGCAGTGGGAGGGAGCTGCTCACTGCTGCTCCAGCCTCACCTCCCCCAAGTGCCCAAAAGACTCAGCTTTGTAGGAGATCACAGCCGCTCAGGAATTTCAGAGCTGCAGGTTCTACTCAAAGAAAACATTTATTGTGCTCCAGTTTCATACAAGCGCTGCATTTAGGGGCTTGCTTTGCAGGAAGCTGATGCAGTCCCTTCACCTCCAGGGATCTGAGGTCAAAGTCTGCTTGCAAGTGAAATGGGTCCTATGTGGGATTTTTTTTATTTTTATTTTTTTTTTTTTTTTTTGACATCACGAAACCACCACACATTTTGGCATAACTGGCTGTTTCTCTTCATAGGAGCCAAAGACCTGGTACGGCAGGAAATCATGTACATGATGAGTGAAGGGCACTGGCAGAGATATGTGAGAAGCCCAGGGCTGGAAAAGCAGGGGAGGCTGCAGGGCTGGAGTAAGAGATGCTGACAGAGCTCAGTGCTTATCCTCTATCTGCAGTCTGTAGGTTGTGTCTACATAGAGTCTTCACTGACTTTTAAAAGATGGGTTCAACTTTATATGTTTACTACAGATTATTCCCCCCAGCCCCCTTTCTTTTTGCTTACTAGTCCTCAACAGATGGATCCAACCTTCTCAGGTTTGCTTACCTGCCTAAGGCCTCTTGACCTAGTTTATCCCAAGAAAACTTAAAACTGAGAAAAAAAAAAATTATGATTTAATGGGTCTTACTATCAAGAGGTCAAATTAGTCACAACAAAAATCAGTATATGCATTTTTAGTTGGTGTGCTTATTCTTAACACTGAGGTTTTAAAAAGTATCTAGTAAAGGGTGCTGCGAGCATGGGCCCAATTTTTGCAGCAGCTAGGCGCCATCATATGAAGTTTTTCTATATAGAAGACTGTTTAATTTTTAAATAAACCTTGTCATGCGGCTGTCCTGATCAAATAGGTTTTGTGTTCAATTAATTCTTCTTTTTCCAGATAGCATGGACTGGTTCACCCATTCTCCCACCCAAACAGATCTGAAGTGAACATGGATCTGCCTAGGTTTCATTTTTGATGCTTACATTAGATTTATTCCCAGAGAACCCTACCAAGAAGGAAATCTTAATATGCCACGTATGTGTAACTCCTGCCACAAAGATGGTACAGCCTGACCAGCCAGAAATGAAGAAGAGGCCTGAAATTATTTGCCTTTCCTTTTATTTCTAGCATGCTCATCATCATATGATCCAAGTTCCCTACTGCAGTTACAGATAATCAGGTCTTACTCAGAGATAGGAAGGTTCTCTTTCTTGATGTGTCATTGGGCTTTTCTTGGAAGGATTTTGAGGAAATTACATACTTTTCTTTTGCTCTGTTCTGTTTCCATGTCATCTAGTTCATGCTGTAGGCACTGAAAGGAATGCTTCCCATGTTCCTTCTGGAAGGCACTGATGTGCCTTCTCAAAAGTCCTTGAGGAGAGAATCCTATAACTCTGTGACTGCTGTGGATGAAGCTTTGACTCTGTAGACTTCACCTGTTCTCTTGGCAATTTCATGGTTTCCCCATGAACATTTGTTGTTGTAGTAGGCTAGATCCCCTGCCAGAAGCCCTGCTGATAGCCTTAGTGCAACAACTTGAGGGTCTTAAAAATCATCCCAAGGGCTTTGAGTGTGGCACAGCATGACTAATGCACCTGAATTATGAGTCTCTGCTCAAAAAACCATGAAGTCAAATTTTCCCTGTTGTTCTGAAGAGGTTCTTTTAACTGAGGAGAATTAGTCTGTTTGGATCATTCAGGTTTCCAGGTAATCACTGGCACTTTGTGTATTCCTGCATTTGGAATGGCCAAAAGAGAAGAGAGGAGGCAGACAAGACGGACCTCTTTACCTCCCTCAGTAAGAGCTGGGAGGCAGAGGGGTAGCACTTCTCAGTAATAGTGTGCCACTGAGGTAGGCCCCAGCTTGGGAACCCTCCTCACTAGAACCTGTGCCCTGGGCTGCTTGGCAGGGGCAGGTCCACCTGTGAGCTGCCTCTGGCCTCATTGGCACCCATGAGAAATACAATAATGTACCAGCTGTTTTGTGTTCAGACTCTCTTTGGTGTGCTGTCTTTGGGTCCTGCCTGATGAAGCACATGTTAGTGTGTCATTATGGTCCTGAACTTGGAGCAGAAGAACTCAGGGAAGATCCAGCCAGAGGCATTACCTCTGTGGTGTTGCAAAGATGTGGAAATGACTATGCCTGGCTTTCCAGTCAAACCTGTGGCTTGGGCTGTTTTCTTCCATACAGCTTTCCGAGTACGCAGTGCAGCAGAGTCAGCGTTACAACAGGGAACTTTAACTTCTGCATTTACTGACTTTGGTGCTTATGGCTGTGTGAAGCATTGAGTTAAATACACAGTAGTTTCTAGCACCTAATAAGGAAGGTCTCTCTTACTGTTATTGTTATAGCTAGGGTTGTTATAGTAGAGGGGACAGGGAGGCTTGGTCTAACCAAGAGGATGAGGGTTTTCTATACCTATATAATGGGGAAAAAATAAACACACGCTTTGAGTTCAGATCTGGATATAAATGTTGTGCCTCAGGCTCATCTCAGCTTTAAGGCTGGTTAAGTCTTTGGCTGGTTGTGTTGATGGAGTTCTTTTGAAGCCAATGTCAGATTTTTGTCAGTGTGCAGATCTAGTCAATATTTGAACTTTATATCCCCTCTGTGGGAGTTTATGAGCACTAAACTGTGGGTATGTAGGCTTATATGGAAGTGCGAATGCCTCTCTGATTTTTATCCAAGCCAATCAGACCTTTTGGCACAATTCAGCAAGGCTGGAGCTCTGTCTTGGGGAGGGGGGTGGTTCCCAGGACCTCATGTTTTACCTCATGCTTTCAATTAGAATGAAATTCCCTTTTTTTTTTTCTGGAAAGAAAAGAAAAAGAGAGAGAGAAAAATCCTATGTTTCTTCCCACAATGTTTCTGTGACTTCAGGGTCAGTCATTGTCATATATCAATGAGCATGGCATGGCACAACCATAGCATGTCCTCACATTGTAAATTGGCTACAGCCACTTTGTAGGGTTTATTTTTGGTTTGCCCTGTATTTCTCCCATTGCTGTACCTTTCCCTGCATCTGCAGAGCCTCTGCTTTTTTTTCATGAAACCATCTCCTCTGTGGTGACCTGTGGAAGTTCTTGGGTGTGTATTCATTGGGCATCTTGCCTTGCTTTCCTCTCTTAGTCCCCTACGTGCTGAAGAGCTGTGCGGAGTTCATCGAGACTCATGGCATTGTGGATGGGATCTACCGCCTCTCAGGAGTGACATCCAACATACAAAAGCTGAGGTAAGGGCAATATGTCTGAGTGCCAGAGGGCTTTGGTGACATTGCTCCATAACTTTTTGCTGTTAGTCCCTCAGGCATAGACTGTGGACATCAGAGCTCTACACTGGTGCAGAAGATAAACTGTCTCTGAAGCTGGTAACAGGGAAATACATAATTTCAGGGATTAGTTCATGCCAAAGGAAAAAGATTTTTCCCCTCTGTATCTATCAATGGGAAAGGCCTGGAGGGTCTCAGCACAAATGCAGAGTTGTTCTCTCTCACTTCAGGACAAAGCAATCTCTTTATTTCAGTTTGGGATCCACTCATGGGACTATGTTAGGGAAACCCGAGACTAGTTGAAATGTCAGGGCTTGATCCTGGGAGACAATCTGGCCCAGGCTGCAAGAGACATGTCTGCTTTCCAGTTTGTTTTATTTCTAGCTGTAAAAGAGTATTTAGGGTGGAGTACTGGGATGCTACAGCTCTTACTTGCCTACATTGTTATGTTTCCATATTGTTTCAGACAAGAGTTTGTTTCTGACCAATGCCCGGATCTGACAAGGGAAGTTTACCTCCAGGACATCCACTGCGTGGGGTCACTCTGCAAGCTGTACTTCAGGGAACTGCCCAACCCTCTCCTCACTTATGAGCTCTACAAGAAATTTACGGTGAGACCCTTTGCCACTCTCATTCCTCTCCAGTAGTGTAGATGTGCTGCAGGTTCCTCCGTGACAGCAGTTTGGGATTCACTCCAATGTCCTGGCTTCTGGTGCATCTATCCATATAAACACTTCTCAGT